GGAGGGAGGGAAGGAAGGAAGGGAGGGAGGGAGGGAGGGAGGGAATGAAGGAAGGGAGGGAGGGTGGGAGGGAAGGAGGAAGGAAGGAAGGAAGGAAATGAGGGAGGAATGACAGGAGGAAGGAAAGAAGGAAAAGGAAAAGAAAGGGAAAAGAAAGGAAATACATTTAGCATTCCAAAAAACAAGAGTGTGTTCTGGAATTAGACCACTTGGCTGTGAAGGCTGGTCCTATCACCCGTGTGATCTTGGGATCTTCAGCTAATTGATATATCCCTTTCCCTGCCTCAGTTACCTCAAGTGTAATAATAATATCTACCTTGTGGGGCTGTGAGCATCAGATGTGTTAGCTGATACAAGTAGAAGAGACTTAGAACAGCGCCTGGCAACACGTGCGAGCTACTCAGTAAGTGCAACTTACTGTTTTCTCATTTTATTGCTGAAGAGCCTGAGTGAGAATCAGAGGCTCAAGAGTGTGAACAAGACAAGACTGGCAGAGATGATGGATGGCTCCTTAACATCACCAACTTCTTCTTCATCATCAGTATCATCTGTCATAGGGATAGGGAGGTAGCACTTGGGAGGCCGAGGTAGGCAGATGGCTTCAGCCCAGGAGTTTCAGGCCAGCCTGGGCAACAGAGTGAGATACCCTCTCTACAAAAGAATACAAAAATTAGCCAGCTGTAGTGGTGCACACCTGTAGTCCCAGCTACCTGGGAGGCTGAGGCTGGAGAATCACTTGAGCCCAGGCAAGGCTGCAGCAGCAAGACCTTGTTTCAAAAAGCAAAAACAGGTGGGGCTCAGCGGCTCACACCTGTAATCCCAACACTTTGGGAGGCCGGGGTGAGGTCAGGAGTTCAAGACCAGCCTGGCCAACACAGTAAAACCCCATCTCTACTAAAAATACAAAAATTAGCTGGACGTGGTGGTGTGCACTTGTAATCTCAGCTACTCGTGTGGCTAAAGCAGGAGAATCACTTGAACCCAGGAGGCAGAAGTTGCGGTGAGCTGAGATCGCACCACTGTACTCCAGCCTGGGTGACACAGCGAGACTCCATCTCAAAAAAAAAAAGCACCAAAAAAATGAAAACCAAAAAACCCCAGCATGTTCTGGATTGCACAGCTGGTGGGATTTAACCATCTTCACTTCATTATAATTATAAAATCATTCTGGCCGGGCGTGGTGGCTCACACCTGTAATCCCAACACTTTGGGAGAAGCGAGGCAGGCAGATCACTAGGCCAGGAGATCGAGACCATCCTGGCCAACATGGTGAAACCCCGTCTCTACTAAAATACAAAAAATTAGCTGGGCGTGGTGGTATGTGCCTGTAGTCTCAGCTACTCAGTAGGCTGAAGCAGGGGAATCACTTGAACCCGGGAGGTGGAGGTTGCAGTGAGCCAAGACGGTGCCACTGTACTCCATCCTGGCAACAGCGCAAGACTCTGTCTCAAAAAATAAAAAAATGATGTGCCCATTCTTTAATTTTAAATTTAAAACCTGCTGGTGTGAAATCTTGTGGTCTTAGAGAAAATATTTTCTTTTACAATTTAATTTTCATTTTTGGGGGGATGGATGGAGTCCTGCTCTGTCACCCAGGCTGAAGTGCAATGGTTTGATCTCGGCTCACTGCAACCTCCGCCTCCCAGGTTCAAGCGATTCTCATTCCTCATCCTCCCAAGGAGCTGGGATTATGAACATGCACCACCACACCCAGCTAATTTTTGTATTTTTAGTAGAGACAGGGTTTTGCTATGTTGGCCAGGCTAGTCTTGAACTCCCAACCTCAAGTGATCCCCTGCCTTGGCTTCCCAAAGTGCTAGGATTACAGGCGTGAGCCACTATCTTGTAACTGTATATATTTATGGTGGTACAATTTGATATTTCCACTAATATTATGTTGCATAATGATACAATGGGGTAATGTATCCATTGCTTCATGCATGTATCATTTCTTTGTGGTGAGAATATTTACAAGCCTCTCTTCTAGCTATTTTGTAACATACAATATGTTACTGTTAACTCTACACTACACACCCAGAAACTATTTCTCCTATCAATTGTAATTTTGTATCCATCGACCGCCCTCTCTCCAACTCCTCCTCTCCCTCCCCTTCCAGTCTGGTAACCACTGTTCTACTCTCAACTTCTGTGATATCGAGTTTTTTAAACACTCCATGAGTGAAGTCATGTAGTAATTTTCTTTTTGTGCCTGGCATATTTCACTTAATGTAATGTCCTCCAGATTCATCCATGTTGCAAATGGCAGGACTGCCTTCTCTGTTATGTCTGAATGGGATTCCGCATCTTTCTCCATTCATCTGTTGTTGGACACTTAGGTTGCTTCCATATCTCGGCTATTGTGAACAGCGCTGCAATAAACATGCCAGTGCGTTTGTCTCTTCCACACGCTCATTTTCATTTCCTTTGGATACATACCCAATTGTGGGAGTACTGGATGATACAGTAATTTTTTTTTTTTTTTTTTTTTTTTGAGACGGAGTCTTGCTCTGTCGCCCAGGCTGGAGTGTAGTGGTGAGATCTTGGCTCACTGCAAAAGACAAAAAAAGTTGTCTGGGCGTGGTGGCATGTGCCTGCAATCCCAGCTACTCGGGAAGCTGAGGCAGGAGAATCGCTTGAAACAGGGACTCGGAAGTTGCAGAGAGCTGAGATCACGCCACTGGACTCCAGCCTGGCGACAGAGTAAGACTCCATCTCAAAAACAAACAAACAAACAAAAACAAACAAACAAAAAACCCTTACCCAGTCCAACATCATGAAGCATCTCCCCTGTGTTTTCTTCCAGTAGTTTCCTAGTTTCAGGTTTTGCATTTAAGTCTTTATTTCATCTTGAGTTGATGTCTGTGTGTGGTAGGAGGGAGGGGTCTGATCTCATGCTTCTGCATGTGGATATCCCATTTCCCCAGCACCATTTCTTAATGAGACTGTCCTGTGCTGTCTTCTTGGCACCTTTGTTGAAAATCAGTTGGTTATAGGTGCATGCATTTTAATTTCTGGGCTTTCTATTCTGTTGCATTGGTCTATGTATCTGCTTTAACGTGACATGCTGTTTTGATTACTATACCTGTTGTAGTATATTTTGAAGTCAGGTAGTGTGATGCCTCCAGATGGCTTTGACTATTTGTGGTTCCATGTGAACTTCAGGATGTTTTTTCTATTTATGAAAAATGTCATGGTAATTTGGATAGGGACTGTATTAAATCTGTACAATGCTTTGGGTAGCAGGGCCTTTTTTTTTTTTTTTAACACAGATTTCACTGTGTGGCCAAGGCTGAAGTACAGTGGTGCAATCTCAGCTCATTGCAACTTCCGCCTCCCAGGTTCAAGTGATTCTCCTGCCTCAACCTCTCCAAGTAGCTGGCATTGCAGGCAGCCACCACCACTTGCGGCTAATTTTTGTATTTTAGTAGAGACAGGGGGTCACCATGTTGTCCAGGCTGGTCTCAAACTTCTAACCTCAAGCAGTCCGCCCATGTCGGCCTCCCAAAAAGTGCTGGGATTACAGATGTGAGCCACCATGGCCATCAGGGCCCTTTTCACTACCACACTACACATCTCTCCCTGCACATAAGCAAGGAGTTTCACCTGGCTGCCAGAGCTTAGGCAAGGATGGGGCACACAAGGGCTGCTCAATAAATGTGGTTCTGTGACTGATTAGTCCTAAAAAGCTTACAACAGGTGAAGCAGGAGCCCACAGTAAAGAGAAGTTAATCATGAAAACCCACATCGAAGGCCAGGTCAGCACGGGAAGCCTGCCCACCAGGGAGGCCTGTGACATCTGCTCGGATTCTTTACCCTGAGGACACTGAACACAGTCACTCTGTAAAGTCAAGCAGGCCTCTGTCCTGACCTGCATCACCCTAGCCCCTACACCTGCAGGCACCGGAGTCCACCCTGTGTACACCCAGTCCCTGGCCCAACACCACATGCTGAACATACGTCTAGCCTGAGGGGTCCCAGAGTGCGCCTCCTGGTCTATTTTTTACCCACCCGCTTTTGAGCAGGGAATCAGAGGGGTGCCAGGGGCCACAGCTCTGAGTTTCTCCAGCCTCCCCATCCAGACTAGCTGCCTTGACATTTAAAAATGCATTACTTTTAGTTACATTCGATCAGATCTCGCTTTTCTGAATGCAAGTGATCCTCCGTCACCCTAGGCCTGCCGCCTGAAGGCTGGGCCACTCTACCTGAGAGCACTCCAACGGAAACAGAGCAAAGCCAAGGATCTGTTGATTAGTATCACATTTTATTACACAAAATAAATTTCACCCTCGTTGCACATTCGTTCTCACTATAAATCTGGTTTTAAAAAAATCCCTAGGGATTCAGTCTCATCTATTTCATGATTTTCTTTTCATTGACGTCATGCCTCTATTGTAGTCAGAGTCCTCTCAAAGCACAAAAGCAGATGTGGCTGCCTTGGGTCAGCTGCACACAGTGCGCTCCTGGCCTGCCCGCTGGAGGCGCGGCTCCCATCATCATCTGGACCGCCACTGCTATGTACTGTCAAAGTGGCAGCATGTCATCGCCTTCACCAGCCCTTCTCCAGCAGCACAACCAGTCCTCCCAGCTGGTCCTCTGGGGACCAGCCATCATGGCGACGTGGTGGCAGTGTCCCCAGGCATCTGACCATCCTGGGCTTCTCTTTGGGCAGGCCTGGGCCAGGGCTTTAGGGGATCTCTGTGTCCATGGTATAAATCTGAATGAGATCAGACACAATATTATCAATGATTGGCTTGGTAAGGTCGTCACTAAATACCTAGAAAGAAGAAGGAAAACAGGTTCCAGTTAGACTCCCTGTGTTAAACAAGGCACCGGTCACTAAGCACAGAATCACATTTCATGGGCAGGGGAGGGGTACAGGGACTTGGCTATCCAGGAAGATGGTAGCTCTTCTGCAAAGCCAGTTCAGTTCCAGCCTGTTAAGGCCAATCAAACACTTTACAAAGCCGAGAACATTCCAGATGGAACAGGCCTTGGTGATCCTCTGACCCAGACAGGAGGAGACCTGTCCAAGGTTGTGCAGGGAATTGGTAACACAGCTGGGCCCAGAGCACAGGCTCCTGCCTTCTGCCTGGGACTCCCTCAGGTCCAGGGTCTCTGGGGACACTGGCAAGAGAGGACGGTGGTCCCTGTGCAGCCACAGGCAAGCTAAGTACCTGGATCCCACGCCCCAGCCCCTGGGGAGCACATGGACCCGCTCTACACCAGGACCAGACACCTGAACCACCACATGCAGGAGCATTCATAAGATGGCAAAGGACATCATCCTCGGGGCCCATGGCAGGAGGGCTGAAACCCAGGGCCATGCCATGGGCTGGGGTCCATACCCTGCACCTTCCAAAGGCAGGTCTGGCCTCTGCCCGGCTCCTGGAGGACAACATCTAGGCCCCTAGAAAATTCTGCCTGGTGCGAGCGTCTTGGTTTACTGGACTGCCAGGCGGCCTGTGCTAAGCACATCATGGTGAAGGCCCTGGGCCACAGAGTCCCTGTTGAACCTCTGGTGGCCGCAGCCCAAGTGACCAGGGTTGGCCACACAGGCACTCCATGACTACATGACCCACCCCAGCAGAAACCCTGGCCACCACAGCGGGGGTGAGCTTCCCAGCTGTGACTCTGTGCACACTGTCCCGTATCTTTGCTGGGAGAAACAGTTGGTGTCTCTCCTGGACCCCGCCCTGTGCGCCCTGAGCCTTCGCTGACTGTAACCTGTGTCCTTTCCTTGTAATAAACTGAAACTGGGAGTGTGACAGCTTTTCTGAGTTCTGAGCCCTCCCAGCACAGCACTGAGCCCCAGGTGCTCTTGGGGACCCCCAGTGATAAGGGAAATAGTAAGCAAAGCAGCACGACGTTGGTCAGATGCTGCATCTGTAGTCACCTTTGCCAGGGCTTGCTGCCTGGGGAACCAAGGTACCAACAGGCCAAGGCCTTGGGCCAAGTCAAGGCAAGAACTGGACCTACATCCACCCCCAACGAATGCCCCCCAAAAACCCTAGGCTCCTCCGTGGCCTACAACCTCAGGTAGAAGATGGTGGTCTGGACACCGTCCGAGTCCTGACTCAGGAAGCATAGCTGTCTCACCCTGGGCTCTGAGTGAAAACAAATACTTCAGAAATGCACACTTGCTTCCTGGGGTCTGTGACTTGTGTGCTCCTGCAAACCCCAAGCTCAGAAATAATCATTAAAAAGCATTCAGGGACCAGGCATGGTAGCTCATGCCTGTAATCCCAGCACTTTAGGAGGCCAAAGCAGGTGGGTCACTGGAAGTCAGGAGTTCAAGACCAGCCTGGCCAACATGGTGAAACCCTGTCTCTACTGAAACTACAAAAAATTAGTCAGGCGTGGTGGCAGGTGCCTGTAATCCCAGTTACTCGGGCGGCTGAGGCAGGAGAATCACTTGAACCAGGGAGGCAGATGCTGTAGTGAGCTGAGATGGCACCACTGCACTCCAGCCTGGGCGACAGACTAAGACTCTGGCTCAAAAAAAAAAAAAAAAAAAAAAAAGCAGGACCAAAAGGTGGAAGCAGCCTGTGTCCATCGATGGATGAGTATGTCAATATCATATGGTCCATGCAGGCCAAGAAAAGGAAGGCCATTCTGAGATGGGCTCCCACATGGCTGACCCTCGAGGACATGGGACTCAGTGAAAGGAGCCAGTCACAGAGAGGCCGGCACTGTAGGATTCCACTCCTGCGAGGGGCCTCACAGGAGAGCCGTGAACTCCTGGGGGACGGGCAGTAGAAGGGCGGGTGCCGGGGCGGAGGGGTGGGGAGTTGGGCTGAACGGGGCCAGAGCTTCAGCTGGGGAAGACGAACAGGTTCTGCGGCTGGATGGCAGAGATGGCTGCACAGCACAGGAGCATGCTTATGCCCGGGACACACACTTAAACATGGTGAGCGTGGCGTGTTTCATGTGATGCATATGTCACAATTAAATATAACAGTTCAGAAAAGGTGACAACGCTGGGGCACCTGATAGCAGAAGGGACACAGCCCCAAGTCCTAGGAAGAGACACCACTCTCCTCTTGGGACTTAACTCGGCCTTTTTGTGGACGTCAACCTCCTCCGCACAGACGGTCCATCTGTTTGTAAGACAAAGAGCAGCAGTGGCTGGAAAGAGGCAGGTTCTCCCTCTGCTCAGGAGCAAGAAGAAGGAGGGTCCAGTATGGCTCTGGACGTGGAAGTTTCAGCAACACTGTGTGATGACCTGTGGCATTTCTGACCCCGCCACAGTCCCTGCTCGTGTCCAGGGAAGCACATCAAGCTGCCATGCTGAGCCCACGTGGGGCAGGCAAGTGACAGAAGTTGTTGCTGCAAGAAGCGGCAGCCGAGAGCTCACAGGAAGAAAGGCTTTCAAAAACCAGGCTGCAAGCTTCGCAGCACCTGCATGGGGGAGGCCTCCCAGGATCCCGTTCATCATGAGGGATCAGGCCCTCACACCCCCAGCCCACAGGACGTGCCTGGACTCTGGAAGCTCCTGGTGCACAGCCCCGAGCTGCGAAGCAAAGGTCAGATCAGGTTTAGCAGCCTTTCATAAGAGCTGGGTGAACACAAGCTCGCCACCCCAAAAAGGGTAACTTCTTCCCAGTCTGAACAATTACTGGGTGAGTCTGGGCCACCATAAAACAACTTCCTGGTGGAGCTGCTTCCTGGCTGTGCAGGGCCACAGCTCCTCTGGGAGGGGCTGAGCATGGGGCACAGGTGCTACCGGCACACCAGGTGAGGTTCATGAGCAAGCGCAAAAGACAGAGCAGAAAGGAAGAGCGATGCAGAGCAGTCAGGCAGCCCAGGGCCAGGGCTGCACCCACCACATGTCCTCAGAGTGTCTGCCCCCACCGGAGTCCAACCGAGAGCACGAGGCAGCCACGTTAATCTGGAAGTCCCTGAGCCCAAGCATGGAGCAATATTGTCAGTCCACACAGATGGCCCTGCACCACCTGCACACTGTCACAGGGACAGGGTGTCTCCAGCCTGAGACTAGGATCATGGGTGCTTGGGTTCAAAGGCACATGAGCACCTACTATGGTGCCAGGGAGGCGCGGGAGATGTGGTGGCACGAGGCAGACGAGATTCCTGGCCTCGGGCGCTCACAATGCACTGGGGGCATGGGATCAGACAATCAACATGCAAAATCAGCAAATGCTGTGGTCTTCCACAAGGCACAGGGGCCAGGGAAGACAGAGTGTCAGGACAGGGGCACCTCTATGCAGAACAGCACCCAGCGATATCTCAGTGGAGGCCAGTGCTGCTTTTCGACATCCGGGAGCCCTAAACGGCAACAGTGCCGACAGGGGAGCTGCCATCCTGGGCCATCGCAGCACGGTACTTTCAAGCTTCCACGCTCCCCAGCAGCCCACATCTTTCTTCATGGATAATTGATAGAAAGAATTTGGTGAACACTGTAATACAGAGACTTCCAGAAGGAAAGGGGGCACGTCCAGTGCACCAAGCAGCCACCTCACCTGCCACCATGGCTTCTCAGCCTCGACCTCAGCAGGTACCTCGACTCCATAGACCTGCAGGGCCAGGTAGAGCACTGCCACGGCTATGTGCTGGGCCTGGAAGCGGAGGCACAGCCCCCCGTGGTAGCTGTCCCGCAGCAGGGCCCAGGCAGTGACGGCGACAGGAGTCCGCTGCCAGCTGTGGCGGTTCAGCCAGTTCTTGAGGGAAACCAGGTAGTGGAGCAGGTACTGCAAAGACACGTGCGTCAGCCTTCAGGCTCGCTACTGCGCTGAGAACCCTCCACCCATCAGTTGCTCTCTCCACTCTGACACAATCACATCAGCACCTGCTCCAACCCTCTAGCAACTTCCATGTCACGCAGGAAGAAGCCCGAAGGCCTCCTGCTGGCCCCATCTCCCGCCCCTCCGACCCCACCTTCCAGTGTACTCCGTCTAGGGCCTTCGCACTTGCATTTGCAGAGCCCTCTGCCTGCAATCGGAGCCTGCTGCCTGCAATCGCTCACCCCAAGCACCTGCCTACTCTCATCATCCAGGCCCAGCTCTAGGGAAATCTACCAGGGCCGACCCCACCGCCATCCCTCTCCACCACAGGGCCCGCTCTGGCCACCGTGAAATCCCGCGGGGCATGGTGCTCCAGAGTACCCTCCTCATGGGCAGGACAGAGGGTGCTGCTTCCCATGCATCTGGCCTGCTGTCAAGGGCACCTGCTGTCCTTGGCCACAACACCCAGATGACCTCCCAGCCCAGCTGCCAGCTCCTGCTCTCAGAGTACAGATGTTCTCCCAGAACCTCACGCACTAAGAAAGCTACTGCCAGCTCTCTGGACAGACTGGAACATACATGTGTGTGCAACCGCAGCACGCCGCACAGGAGGGATGCATCCGTTACTTTCCACCCTAGCCCTGACTGGAAGGAGGGGAAGGGGCTGGCAGGCTCTCAGCCACACCAAGCCATCAGTTCCTGACCCAGGCACAGATCACACAGCCCCCGAGATCTGAGTGCTGTTCTGTCCTAAGCCTTGTCGCCTTGACAACTCCAACCTGCAGCCACCAGCGCATCTCCACCTTCCCCCAGGATGCTGACCAAGCATTCTGCCCACTAAGACACAACTGTGCAGAAATCCCGGACCAGGGCTTTCCAGGGACTAAGGCGGGAGTGTGGAAGGCTGGAGGCAAGATTAGAAAGGCGACAGGAAGAACCCATGTGGGAGGAACTGTCTCTCACCTTGGCTGTGGTGGTGGGTCCGTGAGCAGAGTCGTGATAAAATGGAACAGAAAAAAATAGACGCAGGAGTACAAGTAGAAGTGGGGATGCCAGTGGACTGTGTCGGTGCTGACATCCTGGCTGTGTTCCCCCTGGGGAAGACTGGGCCAAGGGTACATGTCACAACTGCGTGGGAATCTACAATGATCTCAGTCGAGTTTTGATGAAAAAGAATGCAACTCCTAGCCCAGAGCCCCAAACCTCAACTCCTCCATCTCTCTCTCCGGCCATCCTTCTGAGCTGCCTGCATGTGGGGCTGCAGTGCCCAGAGCATTGAGTGCTAGTGCGCCTAAGAGTTCCACTGTTCCCTTTTGCTGCTGTTTGAAATGGTTCTTCTGTTGAGACTCACACATTTCTAGAAGTTAAAAGCGATCTGGCTTTCCCCATGGCTTCCTAAGCACAGCTGAGCTGGATGTGTGCTCCGAGGCATCACAGCATCTCATAGGGACGGGGACTCTGGCCAGTCACGAAACCAGCCTGCTTCCCTGAGGCCCAGCGTGCACACCATCTATATGGGCCACAGGAGCGGTCACAGCTTCAGCGGGCCGCACGGACCCCGCCACAGGTGAGCAGGCAGAAGGTGAAATGGGAACTGGCTGAGAAAACCCACAGGAGTGGGATGGGAGAGGCCAGCCAACCCAGCCAGGAAGCACAGAGCCGGAAGACCCGGTTCCCAGCCGCAGCCCTGCTCTCCTTCTGTGCTGTGCTCTTGTATGAGGTGGGGTGCACGTTCGTGATAAAGAACAAAGACCACAGCTCGAGCCTCTCCGAACAGGCACCGATTCCCCAGCATGTACCTTGTGTGGGTGCTGGAAGGAGACCTGGAAGCGCAGGACTCTCAGCATGAGAAGCTCGCACTGCACAACGCTGTCTCGGAGCTCCCAGAAGCGGGAGTCCAACTCCAGGGGCTCACCGCTTGGGTTAAAGTACCTGCGCAGAGAAACGGCAAGGCCTCAGCAGCCAGGGCAGTTGTCCCTGAGAACGGGATGGCTCAAACTGCTTAAGTCGTGCGATGTCCAGGTGCAAACTACATTGTCCATGTGCAGTAGATTAGTATAGGGCCATTTCGTGTTTTTATACAATCATCTTCATCTCCATGTCTAATGTACAGAATGAAAACAGTAACCAACAGAGGAAAGAAGCCGGCTCCTAGTTTCAGCCGGATGGGCTGTCCGCTATCATTCAGCAAAACGTCAAGTGCAAACACTGGCTGTTGGTGACGGCTCCAGAGGAGCCGGAAGACTGAGCATGCCAAGTCGGTTGTGCCTCCTGTTGTAGTCAGCCTGGCGCTAGGCAGTCTTCATCACCTGAGGTGGCAATGCCCAGGGCTCTCACTCTGGGCTTAAGGAACGTTTATTTTTTATTTTTATTTTTTGAGACAGGGTCTCGCTCTGTCTTTCAGGCTGGAGTACAGTGGTGTAGTCACAGCTCACTGAAGCGTTGACCTCCTGGGCTCAACCAATCCTCCTGTCTCAGCCTCCCAAGTAGCTGGAACCACAGGCGTGCGCCACCACGCCCGGCTAATTTTTATAGTTTTGGTAGAGACGAGGTTTCACCATGTTGACCAGGCTGGTCTTGCACTCCTGGGCCCAAGCGATCCACCCGCCTCGGCCTCCCAAAGTGCTGGGATTACAGGCATGAGCCACCGCGCCCGGCCATCCAAGGAATGTATTTAAGCATCTCATGAGAATGACATACTCCAAAAAGTGGACATTTCTCACTTTTATATTAACCAGACTGTCTTTCCTTCCTTCCAGATCTTTCTGTCATGCTTATACTGTAAACGTCCACTACCTTCCTACCTACGCAAGATTCCCTGAGAGGGTTGTGAACAGGATTCCCATTCAAGCCATCAAAACTCTCTGCCAATGACTCATCCCCTCAGCGGCTCACTCATTTCTGATTTCCTGCAGGAGCCCAGCCCATGTCCATGTCTAACTAGAGCTCCACAGGACGTCCCTCCCCTGCTCCTCCCTGCTGAGGCCTGGTAATGACAGGCGGCCTCCGGTGGCTCTCCACCTGTCTTTGCCTCCATCGCTCGTGGGCATTGTGGACCTGCCATGCTCAGGAGGTAGGGAGTGCTTTTTCCGTTACCTGTTTCTTGACAAAGAAGTAGAACAGAATCATTTTCTTTCCTAACAATAAGAGTTCCTGGAAAGATTCATGACGCACGGACAGTCAGTGACTTTCCACAGATCACATAGCTTGCTACTGGACTCCTGGGCCTTGGTGAAGACCCTGCATCCTGCCCCAGCAGGAACACACCTGCTTGGTCCAGCTGTGCCACGCCCATGCCCCCAGCAGAGTGAGGCTCCTGAGCAACTGGCACCGCACACCTGGCTGGGTCCACACCCTCCCACTGCAGGCAAGCTCTAAGACTTCAGCAGAATCTTCTTTGACACGCCTCTCCAAGCTCCCTCTGCTCAAGCCCTGCCTCTAGACTCCATCCAGCTTTCCAGAATCCCCCAAATCTGGCCCAGCTTCTCTCTCACAAACCTCACTGGCCTCTGACATCAGGCTCCTTCCCATGTTTGCTGCTGGTGTTTCTGGTTCAAGGCCATCCAGGTACTTCCAAGCTCCATCGCTGGAACCTGCTGGGCAGGGCCCCATGGGAGCCTTCCTTGCCCTTCCCCCACAGGTAGACACCAGGAGGCCTACCCAAATGCCTCGGACTGAAAGCCATTACCTGTTGGACACATTGATGATATCACGAGTCCGCAGATGCTGTTCTTCCACTTTGCCAGCCAAGTAAATGGAAGACATGGCGATCAAGTAAGGGTCATAGGCGTCCAGGCTGGTCTCGCAGAAGAACTTATGGTAAATGGTGCAAGCAGTGGCAATGGGAATGGACCGCATCCCCAGCTTGACACCTGCAGAGAGAGCAGGCGACAGAGGACTTCAATCCAGTGCTGGCTCACTGCTCTGGTGAGGTGGCTGGAATGGGCCCTAGCGGGCACAGCCCTGCTTGGACAAGTCTAAGAGCTGCCACCAGAGCTGGTGGCTCCTGCTGGGCCTCTCACCGGGTTCTCAGACTCTAATGGGCAACCAAAGCCCCTGGGGATGGTGTTCAAATGCAGATCCCTCTTCTGTAGGCCTGCAGCTCGATTCTGCACTTCTGACAAGCCCCAGGTCATGCCCATGTCAGGGGTCTGTGGACCACACTCTGAGAAACAAGCGTTCCCAGTACTGCTCAGTTAGCAACTGGCAAGGCAGCTTCTGCAAAATCCTGGGAAAGGACCATAAGCTGTTGTGTGTCTGCGTTCATCTTAGCAAGCAGTCAGCTGGAGGTCGCCCATCCCACAGCTACGATGACAGAAGGGAAACGGTCTCATGGGTGCCACAAGTTCCAAAGTCACAGTGAAAGGTTATGCTGAGCACCGGTGTCCTAGCCCACAGGTTAGAAGAGGCGAGCAAAGCAAGCAGGGTGACTGCCAAGAGTAATCACCTGCATTTCAGAGAAAAGGCAACGTTTACGGCCACGGCCAGGTACCAGGGAAGGACACCAACACATTAAAAAGTGGGCCAGGGTGCTGGCTTACGCCTGTAATCCCAGCACTTGGGGAGGCTTGAGCCCAGGAATTCGAGACCAGCCTAGGCAACAGTGTGAGACCCTGTCTCTACAACAAAAAAGAAAGAACACAATTTTTAAGGTGAACAAAACTCAAACACCAGAGCACAACTCAGTGGATTCACCCAGGGCTTAAAAGCGCATCCCCGGTACATCCCTGAACAGCTCCTAAGAAAACCACTGCCCCGGTGCATAAAACCAAAACAAGTTCCCAACAACCAGGGTTCACAAGAGAAGGTTAAATGACATCCACTAGATTGAAAGAAGGTGGAGAACAACCTGCAATCGCCCATGGAAGGGCAGTCAGCATCTTCTGCCTAAGAAGGTGTTAGCTCTCTAGGGCTACTGCAACACATCACCACAAATTCAGCCACCTCAACCACACACATTTATACTCTTCTGATCCTGCAGGTCAGAAGTCCAGCACAAGCCTAGAGGGCTAAGATCTACGTCCCAACAGGACTGGCTCGGAGGCTCCACGGGAGTATCTGCTTCCTTGACTTTTCTAGTTTCTAGAGGAGGGCCGCATTCCTTGGTTGCTGACCCCTAACTCTGCTTCTGTCCTCACGTGGCCTTCTTTGTGAGTCCTGCCTTTCTCTTGTAAGGATGGAGGTGGTTACGCCAGGCCCACCCAGATCATCTAGGATAATCTCCCACCTCAAAGTCTAACCACATCTTCAAAGTTTCTTTTGCTATATAACATGATATTAACAGGTTCCAGAGATTAGGAAAGGGACATCTTTGGGAGATGAGCATTTAGTCTCCTACAAAAGAACAAAGGTTTGTGCAATACATTTTATAAAGAAGTCTCTCAGAAGGTGTAAACTTGTTGTGTATTGGTAACTCCTATCTGGGATCCCTCATTCCAGGATATGCCAGAGAAGTTGCTGTTACTGACATGACCTTCCAAGCCTTGTTTTTACAGAGCAAACCCCAGTTTACATGGAGCCTCCGAGCAGATGATGGTAGCAGATGAGGCATCACTGCCATCCTTCCCTAACACACTTTGCAAGTCTTCTTGCAAATCACAGTACATTTATATATTACTGGGATGAACAGTTCTGCAGCATTACCCCCACTCTCTGCCCACATTAACTGGAAAGCGCATCTGTACAACCCTTCTTCCCCGACAGTGCACAAAAGGCAGGAAAGGTAGGAAATAATCGTCTGCCAACCAACAGTATCTCCTATCAAGATACTATTGATGGGCCAGGCGACATGGCTCAAGCCTGTAATCCCAGCACTTTGGGAGGCCAAGAGGGTGGATTACCTGAGGTCAGGAGTTCAAGACCATCGTGGCCAACATGGTGAAACCATCTCTACTAAAAATACAAACATTAGCCCGGCATGGTGGCACAAGCCTGTAGTCCCAGCTAGTCAAGGGGCTGAGGCAGGAGTAATGCTTGAACTCGTGAGGTAGAGGCTGCAGTTGGCCAAGATCGCGCCACTGCACTCCAGCCTAGCCTCCAGAGCAGGACTTTGTCTTAAAAAAAAATAAATAAATAAAAATACTGTTGATTGAATGATGGAAACAATGTTTCTACAGAGATCCTGGCTTAATCACCTTGCCTGGGAAGCGCGGCGCCAGACACTATCGCAGATGCCCCAGCAGGGTGCTGAACAGGCAGCCTAGGTACTCCGAGTGACAGGAACTCCCGGACAGCGTGCTCCAAACGGCTACTCGCGACCGAGCGCCATAAAGTCTCCCGGAATGCAGGGCCGCGGGTGCGGCAGAAGGCGTGGCGGAAATCGCAGAGCTGCGGGCGCCCGGGCCGGTCCCCGCGTCGCTGGAGACCCGACCCGGCCACGTACTCTCCTAGGGCCTGCACACCGGTCCGTGCAATGGGGACACCTTGCGGCTCGCGGCCCAGCACACCGGGCGCGGCGCAAGGTCCTCCCGGCCTCCCGGCCTCCGCTTCGGTGAGCATTCCGGCAGGCAGGCCTGGCCATCCGCGCCCGCTCGGCGAAGGGGCCCTGGCGCCGCCTTCCCCCGCCTCCCCCAGCGCGCCCCCGGCAGCGGTTACCTGCCTCCATGATGAACCTCGCCACTCGGAAGTGCACTCTGGCTTCGGGCGCTGGCCGTCCATCGGGCCCCCGCGCTACTGGTCCCCGTCCGCCGCCCTCCGGGCCTTCCATGTGGCCCCGCGGCGCCAGCGGAAGGAAAAGCGGCCCCGGCGCGCAGAGGCCGGCAGAGCGGGGGCGGGGGGTACTCGCGGCGAGCGCCGCCGCACCACCCCGCCACGTCCCGCCCCGCCCCGCCGCTCCCCAGCCCCGCCCCTCAGGGCCCGCACCCTAGGGTGAGCGCGCGCCTGCGCCACAAAGGCTGCCGTGCCGGGTGCGCAGGCGCCGGCGCAGGCGCAGAGGCCAACACCGCCGAGCGGCCAGCGAGGGTCCACCGGCCCCTGGATGCCTCTAGCCCCGCCCCTGGGAAGCGCAGGCTCCTCCCCCAGGAGCGGGACCCTGTGGAGCTGGTCTGAGTCCCGCGGGAGGGCACCTCCAGTCACCCGAGCCGCAAATCCCCGCGATCAGATGTCTTTGGTGAAGCGTGCCTTTGGCCAGGGACAGTCGGCAGCGCCTGCCAAGCCCTGGGCAATGGGGACGCCTGCAGGAGTTCACGTGGAGGCGCCGGTGTCTGAGGCCTGAGTAGGCAGCGGCCACCGGAAAATCTGCTAGTGTTTCCGAACCCCGATCCACAGACACCTCAAGGAAATGCTGTGCACAAAATTCCAAGACGGCCTTTTCGAATGGACGCGTAAACGGTGTCTGTCTCTGGATCGTCCAGCCTCCCGGGGTTGGTTGGGAATCTAGCTTCTGCTTGCCTTTCCAGCCCGACGCACAGTAGGAGCCTAACAAATGTTTGTGGAATGAATGTTGAATATCAAACTCATGTATTTACCAGCCCATTTTTCATTCATGTCTTCCACAAGCAGGAAATGGTGCATCAGGCTTTAGGGACATGGAACCCCAAAGGGACTCCCAAGCTAGTGACAATCACTTGAGTCATTCTAATACATTCAGATCATTCCTACAGTGCAACCCCACAGCTGGCAATATAGAGAGAAAAAAGTCACTGCTCCTTCCTCAGCACCCACTGCTTCCACCACACGCCCCAAGTCCTCTCTCCATCCCAGCTGGGTTAGTTTCCTGGGGCTACTGTAACAAATGACCTCAAATTGGGTGGTTAAAAACAGCAGAAATATATCCTGTCTGGATTCTGAGGCCAGACACCTGAAATGAAGGTGACAGCAGGGCTTTGCTTGCTCTTCCAGCTTCTGTAGCTCCATTTCAGGTGTCTGGCCTCAGAATCCAGACAGGTGGAAGCAGGGGGTGCTGAGTAAGGAGCAGTGACTTTTTTCTCTCTATATTGCCAGCTGTGGGGTTGCACTGTAGGAATGATCTGAATGTATTAGAATGACTGGGCTCGCAGCTTCATCACTGCAGTCTCAGCCTCCACATGGCCTTCTCCCTGTCTTCTGTCTCTTATAAGCACACTTGTCACTGGATTAAGGCTCACCTAGATAATCCAGGAGGAGCTCATCTCGACATCCTTATCTTAATTGCATCTTGCAAAGGCCCTTTTGCTAAATAAGGTCACAGTCACAGGGATTAGGATATGGACACACCTTTTGGTGGCTGCCATTCAGCCCACAATACCAACCGCCAGAGCAAGCTTTCTAAAAGGCAAGGCTGAACAGGGCCTGCCCTGCCTAACACCCTCCAGAGTCCCTTCATATTCAGGAGAAAATGTGAGGTCTCGGCCTCACATGCTGACCCTTGCAGAGTCACTTTATCAACTGACCAGCCTCGGATCTCACCACTTTGCCACTCATGGCAGAGGCCTTCGGCAGATCCCTCAAAGGTCATGGTCTCCCAGCTGCAAGTCTCTGCACATATTCTGCCTCATGAAGGAATTACTGCTCCACTTCCATCACCCAGCTTGCTCTTGTCTGTAAGTGCACGGGTGTGTCCATGTGTGTGCATATGTGTGTGTGTGTGGACAGACGCAGGGTCCTGCTGCTAACATCTGCCATGCCTTGAGCACTGTGTTTGTCCCCAAGCTGTGAGCAGCCCCACCCTCTCCCCAGCCCAAGGACCAGCCACAGCTAGATCCAGAAGGCTCAAATCCACGTTCCCTGCTGCCTCTCAGCTTCCCCCTACCACCACATCTGTGCACACTACACACAAACACACCCATGCACATGCACACATGTGCATCATGCATTCCCCTCACATACATACATGCACATGTACACACGCACATATGCAAGCACCCCAAATCATACAGTGCTTCCCTCTGGCCCCTGGCCTGGTGGCCTGCCTGTCCTCTAGGTGCAGCCCAAACTCCTCCTTCTCCTCTGAGTCTCATGTACTGAGAAGAGTCCAGGCTAAGCAAGTAAAAGTCACCTGGGACTGTGAGCCAAGAGAATGACTCAATGAACACATGAATTTTTAAAGCCCTGGGTTACAGGGCACACTCCTGGCAGGCACCTCAGCGCAGTGGTTGATAAATGAATAATTCACTAGCCACCAACTGGAGCCAGCCAACCTTTAGGCAGCACCTCCGCTCCCACTTTCAAGGCTGTCCCAATGGTACCAAACGTGGCATGCCCCATCTCATCGGCCCTGGCTCAAACGGTGAACTCCTTGAGGGCTGAAGCCTGGTTCTCAACCCCAGGCTCAGCCCAAAGAAGAGGTACCATCAAGGCAGGGAACAGTCACCATCAGAAGCCAGACTCTGTAATATTTGCCATTTCTTCCTTAGCTAATCGTCATCATGTGCCCCTACACTGATGAGATCACACCCTCCCCCTCACAGTAGCACTATTATGGAAAAGAGGGAGTGACTCATTGCAAAGAACAGCACTCAGGCTTAAACTCCCTCCGAGGGTGAAGCAGAGAAAGAGGGAAGAGGCATTTCGGGTACAGAGGAGAGGCTGTGCACAGGCAGGGCCAGGCATGGTGCTTCATGCCTGTAATCACAGCACTTTGGGAGGCCGAGGCAGGCAGATCACCTGAGGTCAGGAGTTCGAGACCAGCCTGACCTTCATTTTTGTAGGTGATGGTCCTCAATGTAGAGATTATGTCATATCACTGGGAGTTGTCAAACCTCTTCTGTCCTTCATCAGCCCCTCCATTCCCATCACCTTCCTTCGGAACATCACATGGGTCATTGTGATGGAGAAACCCCAACTCTACTAAAAATACTTAATTAGCCAGGCATGGTGGCACATGCCTCTAATGCCAGCTACTCGGGAGGCTGAGGCAGGAGAATCTCTGGAATTTGGGAGGCAGAGGTTTCGGTGGGCAGCTGAGATCGTGCCATTGCACTCCAGCCTGGACAACAAGACTGAAACTTCCTCTCAAAAACAAAACAAAACAAAATGCAGGGACAATTTCCAAAGGACCTGCCCTGCCCTGGTCTTCATCCTGGCAGCCTCATCAAAGTCCAGGCCCACCACTTGTCCTGGGCCTGGGGACTTCATGCCACAGTCACCTCTCCCCCTCTCCACAGTGCTCCAGGCCAGCTCCCTCTCACCATCAGCAAGATTCACAGCCTCCATCTCTGTTCTGCCTCCCCGTTCCCCACTGCCTATTCACCCTTCATCTTTATTATTATTATTTTGAGAAAGAGTCTCACACTGTCACCCAGGCTGGAGTGCAGTGGTACGATCTCAGCTCACTGCAACCTCCGCCTTCCAGATTCAAGCGATTCTCCTGCCTCAGCCTCCTCAGTAGCTGGGACTACAGGCCAGGCGTGCACCACCACGCCTGGCTAGTTTTCGTATTTTTAGTAGAGACGGGGTTTCACCATGTTGGTCAGGCTGGTCTTGAACTCCTGACCTCAGGTGATTTGCCCGCCTCAGCCTCCCAAAGTGCTGGGATTAAAGGTGTGAGTCCCCGCACCTGATCAGATTATAACTTTTTGGTGAATCTATTTGGTGAATAACTGGTGTTATTTTCTTTTTCAGAGATTCGAGTAAACAGGAGCTCAACAGAGTAAATGTGTGCAAGCTCTGAGCATACGCAGGGTCTTGGGTGTGACCAAGTCGGACCTAAGGAGAAGTGCTGCCAGTCGGGCATGAGGGCTGGAAAATCCACCCCAGCAATAGACATGCAGAAGACTGAAACCAGATGAGTGGGTGCCAGGACCAGGGAGGGGGCACAGGGAGTGACTGCTGATGGACACAGGGTGATAAGGGTGTTCTGGAATTTGATAGTGGCGATGGTTGCACAATTCTGTGAATATATTAAAGGCCATTGAATTGTACAATTTAAATGGGAGCATTTTATGGTATGTGAATTATGTCTGAATCGATCCATTATTTTTAAAAACTACCACATGCAGTCATGCCACTGAGGAAAAAATCTTATGGGGAGAAGGGGGTTTCTCAGGGAAGAGCTGTGAGACTCGCCAGCAAAGAAAGTTGGAAGGCAGGGCAGCTGGAAGGAGCGGGCAACATCACACAGCCAGGAAGCTCTCAGAAGGGCAAAGTGAATGCAAGGAGCTAAGAAGCTCGGGGCGTCAGCAGGACAGCCACAGCAAGGGTGGCGGAGCTGTCCTGGGACTCCTGATAGCCCAGGGACTCCTCCTGACAGCGAGGAGGCAGTGCAAGAGGGGGCCAGCGCCAGGTATACCCTCAAAGTTCTTCAACGAGGCCAGCGAGGTCACCTCTGAAAAACGGCTCTGCTGCGATAGTTGGAGATGGTGGATCCTGGGTGTGAGGGTGCACAGCACCCACGGTGGGAGCTGATGGAGACACCTTGGTCCAAGTCTGTCTCCTGGGCAGCCCCTCAGCCCCTCCTGTGATGAGCAGCTGGCCACCTGGCTCGGGCGGGTGAAGGCTCCTGTCCTGCAAACCCATGGGGACTCCACTCACAGCCACTGGTCCCACTGTGACCCTCTCGCTGGAGCAAAGCAGGAAAGCCACTGGCAAATGATTTGCAGTTCCATTCTCATACACAGAGAATTCTAGAAGTTTCCACCTGCACCAAAGAG